AGAAATCATTCTAATATGCTGATTTGGTGCTCAAGAAACATTACTCATTATTTTCAGTGTTACTGCTTTTCAACATTGCTTTCAATATTGAGTGCTTTTTTGTGGAAACCATGATTTTTCAGGATTCTTGAATGAATAGAAAGTTCAAAAAAATAGCATTTATTTGAAACGGAAATCTTTTGTAACATTACAAATGTGTTTTTTTTTAAACAATTTAATGCCTTGCTGAATTAAAACATTACTTTCTTTAAAAAAAAAAAAACACTTTACTGACCCTAAACTTTTGAAGCATGTAAGAATCCTTAACAGGATGGAGTAATATGTACCTTTCCTGCTAAGTAGAGCATATGTGTGTCTGCATCATAGAAAGGGAAAAGCAATCCTGAAAGGCCATCAATCTCCTCCTCAATGATTGGCATGGACAGATCCTCCTGTTATGAGAGACAGTGCAGTATGAGAGCAAATAACTTTGAACCCAGATTCGCAGAGAGCAATTTTCCCATTTTACAAAATATTTTTGCCATACAGGGCTTTCTCAGAACCCTGACAATGTACTAAGAGCAACACAACCAGCTTCTTTCCCCGCGTTCTCTCATTACTGCAGTTGAGTGTAGCTGTTTAGCTACACTTACAATGAATGTGATTATCACACAATAATTACAGGGAAGATGCTGAGAAGAAAACATAATGACTTTCAGCATGGTAATCTTTAGGGTAATGCAGACATCAGGGACAATGTGTATTTCTGGATGAGTTTTGGGAATTATTCACACAAAAACACACATACATTTGTTTATCTGTCATGGTGAAGACTTCAATTTGTCTTTATACTGAACTAATGATATATTGTAACCCCTAAAACTACACAAACCCCTAGCCCTGATCCTCACAGACACATTTTAGAATTTACAGTTTAATTAAGACAATGTTTTGTGTTTTTTTATTTGTTTTCCTTACAGGGACTGTTGACTGGTCGCAGAATGAAGTTGATTTCATGTTTAACTACCCTTGTAGGGTCATTTGATCATTTCAAAACCTGACCCACACACATACAGAGGTTGTTCTCACCTGGTCCCAGAGAGCAATCTGGCGTGTGTTCCAGCGAGACACACCTGTCGTTAGGAGTCGTTTCATGTTGCCTAGGAACACAACACGGTTCACTTTGTGGTTTTTAAAGTTCGCCTCCTGCTTGACAATGTAAAACAAAAATAAGTGAAATTTTCAGTTTCAGCAAACAATTTTACTCAACAGTGCATTTACAAAATCATGCATGAAAAATATGATTACTCTATTCTATTCTATAATCATTTTAATATGCTGATTTGGTGCTCAAGAAACATTTCTTCTTATTATTGACGTTGTGCTGCTTTGTTCAAGTGCATATACTGTAAGACAAAATGCACACAATCCACACCTGTAGCACCTTGCCAGAGCGGGGCTCGATGACGCGGAGCTTCTTGTCCTTGCAGCTGGTGGCCAGTAGGCTGCCCTCTGTGTTAAATGACATACAGAGGATCACGTCTGTGTGACAGTCAATCATTTTCACCGGCTCTCCAATCTCAAGATTCCAAATGAGGATCTACAGAAAGAGAAAAAACACAGTAGTCAAACATCAGAAACAGTCTTTTGACTGCTTTATTTTTGTGAGGGGCACTCTCATGTTCATATTATGGACAGTCAGAATTAGTTTTCACATACAATGTTTAGTACTAACTGTCCACACAGTTAATTTAAAGGGGTCATCGGATGCCCATTTTCCACAAGTTGATA